CCACTATTGCCGGGAAGCACCAGCGTTGGAACAGGAGGAACAGGACAATTCAATGGTTCTGCTTTGTATTTAAGTAGTTGCACAAGTATTTGCGATTGCCGCAGCGGCAGTTTGTTTTACGGATTTTATTGTCTTTGCTCATGGCGCTCGTCGCGGTGCTGGTTCTTTATTTTCTCATATACATGTATGTACAAGTTGTAGTTCAATTCACAGCTGGTTGGGGTATTAAGAAAATTCTTTTGTAGAGTTTTACTATCCGCTTCGTCTGGAGTGCAGAATGACTTATGCGCAGAAAGAGCGAAGATTTTCCGTTTAGGATTTCTGCAGAAGAATATTCAATTTCAAATAAATTTATGGAAATTGTGTTCTTGTTCACTCGCATGTATTGACTCGTTCAAGTGATTTATATTTTCAGTTTATACAAATACCAGAATACACTTTTATTAAATTATTGGAAAAATTCTTTTAAACTGCTTCATAGTTTCCGAAATTTAACCCGAACAGTATTCAAAAATCAGTTATTAAATATAGAAGAAGAAAATCGAAATATGAAATAAAACAATAAATGAAAAATATAAACCATAACGTAAATATCATCAAAGTTATGCAAGTACAAAATATGAAAAATGAAACATAAAACATAAAAATATATATAAACAAAAATTATAATGCATAAAACATCAAACAAAGCATGAAATATAAAACTTGAAACATGAAAAACTAAACATAAACATAGAACTTGAAATAAAATCATCAATATTCCACTAAACATAAAATATGAAATATGAAACATGAGAAGTGAAACATAGAACAAATATTAAGCAACAAGAAATATGAAACAACAAAATAACATAGATGCATAAAACATCAAGCCAACTACGAAATATTAAACATAAAACATCTAAAACACTCCAATGGCTTACGAAAAATTAAACATGGAACATAAGAAATGGGACAAAAACTATGAAGCATAAAAAATGAAACAATAAAAAAAAAACAAATTTCAAAAACAAGAAATAAAAACATAAAAACATAAAGATTTCATATATGAAACATGAAACATGTGACATAAAACACAAAAAAAAACTGTAATACATAAAACATGTAGTAAGAATAAAAATAAAACATGAAACATAAAATATGAAAAACGAAACATAAAACTTGAAACATGAAACATATAACAAAAACCATAATGTATAAAATATGAGGTAAAAACATCAATACTTCACTGAACATAAAATACGAAACATAAAATCTGAAACAAGAAACATCAAGCACCAAATAAAACACGAAATATTCAGTATGAGACATGAAATACAGAAAAAGAAAAACAATAAATGATAAAATATGAAGCAAAACATAAGTATTTAAACATAAAATGTGAAACACGAAAAACGAAACACGAAACACGAAACATAAAACATGAAAAACAAAACACAAAACAAAAACCATATAAGACAGTATATGAAGAAAACCTCAATATTTCACAACACATAAAATATTAAACATTAAATGGGAAACACGAAAAACAAAACATGAAACGCAAAAAAAAAACCGATAAATGATAAAACATGAAGAAAAACATAAATATTTCACTGTACATAAAATATTAAACATAAAATATGAAACATGAAAAACAAAACACGAATCATAAAGCATGAAATACATAACCAAAACAATAACACATAAAATATTACATAAAACCCAAAAAATATTTAGTAAAAACACCCATGTTTTACAAACCATAAAATATGAAACATGAGACAAGAAACATAAAATATTAAACATCTAACATAAAACAAAAACAAAAAAAACAGAAAACATAAAACATTAAACATGAAATCGAAATAAAAACATTGATCATATAACCTGAAAAATTAAACACAAAACACAAAGTAAAAAACATTAAAGGTTAAATACAAAACAATAATTATAAAGCATGAAACATTGATTCTTAAACAAGAAACATAAAACATGAGAAATTAGAAATGAAACACAGAATATAATCATAAAACAAAATCATAAATAAAAAAAAAAATTAAACAAAGAGCACTAAAAATGGTCCGCCAGGAAATCGCTCGTGAAGAGATCTATGGTACAAAAGTCTGCTCTTACAGAAGAGCCTCAGTCTAACAATTTTATGAAGTTCAGAAGAATAATGGGATATAATTGAAAGAGTATGTTAAATTTAAAGTAATAACCCAATTTATTTTGTTTAAAAAAAGATCTTAAAAGTTCTTCTTTACCCTTTAAAGCTTCCTCACTTCTTTGCCGTTGCCTACAAGAGTTGCATAATTCCAAAGAAAATATTTTCCAATATTTCCACCAATAACCCAATATTAATTTATCGAGAAACGTATCTCGTTGACATTTATCTACATATATGTATACTTATAAGTTCATATACATATATATGTGTATGCAAATTGTTGTAAGCTCATGGCAAATATCAAGGAGATCTTGGGACGCGGCATCATTAACCTATCAATATGCTGAAATAAATTTACAGTATTTAAGTAGCGGATGGATATATATTTGTATGTATGCATTATTCTCACATCACTTACACATATACGCCTCTGCACATATGCATGCAAGTAAATAAGTATATACAATACGTAAATATTCAACCCCCAACAGCAGCAACAGCTGCATCGTTTCATTGCCAACGGAGGCTCATCACCGGAAATGTTGTCGCAATTAAAAATTGACGTTATTTGACTGCCTATCTACAACAACAACAACATACCTATGGTACGATGCAAGCAGCACGCTTTAAAGTTATTTTCTGCGTATTGCTTCTCCTTCGGCTACACAGTTGCGGTTGCCACGTGTGAGGTGTAAATGTGAAAAAAAATAAAAGACAAAATAAAAAACTGTTAAAAATGGCCATTTTACTGTTGTAAATAAGGCGAAATTTCATTTTAAATGCAATTCACTTCAGTTCACTTCACACCACATCTGCCCTGCACGTATGCGTTCAGGTGTTGCCGTCGGTGTACACTTGGGACGAGCCACATATTATATTTAAGTGGTGGCAGAGTTAAGTCCAACAGTGGACGGCATAATATTTACCATGTGGGAGGACGAAGATAATGGCAACTGATTTAAGGAAGGAAAACACTTATTGAGCATTGATTTAAAAGATTGAAAGCGCGACAACCATATAGTTTATTATTCGACTGCGAGGGCCTTAATGCAACAGTGATGTGCGAAAAAATAACATGAGATTGAAAAAAAAAATAATAAAATAAAATGAGATAAAAAAAAGTTTAATGAAATAAATTTTAAAAAATTAAATAAGGTAAATATAATAAAAATTAAGAAAATTAAATGAACTAAAATAAAATAATTTGAAATAAAGTAAAGTAGAATAAAATAAAAAATAATAAATAAAATAAAAACAAAAAGTAGAATAAAGAAAAATAAAATAAAAAATAAAGTAAGACAAAACAAAACAAAATAAAACAAAATAAGATAACATAGAATAAATATAATAAAATAAAGCAAAGAATAAAAAACGAATTGAAATAAAATAATAATAATAATAAAAAAAAGTAAAAAAAATAAATAATATAAATTACAAAAAAATTAAAATAGAAAAGGTAAGATAAAATAATAATAGGCAAAATGAATTAATTGTAAAAATATAATAAAATGATTTAAAATTCAATTAAAGAAATGTAAACAAAATAAAATGCGATTAAATATAACAAATCAATAAAAAACTTATAAAACTACAATAAAAAACTTAAATTAAAATAGAAGAAAAATAAATATCATAAAAATAAAATAAACTGAAACAAATTGAAATGAGATAAAATAATTTAGTTAAAAAATAAAATAAAATAAAATAAAATAAAATAAAATAAAATAAAATAAAATAAAATAAAATAAAATAAAATAAAATAAAATAAAATAAAATAAAATAAAATAAAGTGAAATAAAACAAAATAAAATAAAATAAATAAAAGTAATAAAAAAAATTTAATTAAATAAAACAAAACAAAATAAAATAGAATAAAATTATATAGTTGATAAAAATAATAAAATGAAAAAGAGGTTAAAAGAAAATAAAATAAAATGAACAAATGAAACAAAATAAAAAAAAACTTATTAAACTACAATAAAATAAAAATAAAATAAAGTAAATGTACAAAAAAACGAAATAAATTGAAATAAGATAAAATAGTGTAAAGTTAGTTAAAAAAGTAAAGCAAAATGAAATTGAAATTGACCAAAATAATAATTAAATAAAACCAAATAAAGAGGAATAAAAAGTGTATTTTAAAAATAATAAAATAAAATAGGAAAAATCAAAACGAAGAAGGTAAAATAAAATGAAGCTAAAAAAAATAAAATATTAAAAATTAAGGCAGACATACGTCTTATGTGATACAACAGGAATTTTCGAGTCGATTTGGCTTGATAAGCATCAGAATTTTACTATGCTGATTTAAAATATGAAAATTTTTATGGAAAATGTTTATATTACTTTAAAAAGTTTTTTTTTTTTTAATCATATAGTATTGTATATGAATATTGTTTTATTTAACGTTAGAGATATAAAAAACTTTACACCACCTCTAAAGTTATGTCTTTATAAGTAAATTTAAATACTGCAAGAAATATTTTTAAACTTTACAGTGTACAATTTACTAATAAAAATTTTCTTCTCTTTACTCACCCATCGAAATCGCCGGTTATGCAATGGAAAATGTCAAAATTTTATTTGAAATGCAAAACTCAACGCTTTCGGATACTCAACGAACGGATGCTGTTGTTGATGAACTCTGCTCTTATATTTAACACGTTTGCTATGGAATGCAATATAAATGCATCCATACCAACAACAACAACAATAACAACATGCGATCAATATGACTGTTGTGCCACTGATGTTATTACTAATACTACTACTGCCGTCTGCTTTTGACGAAACTGCCACTACCACAACCGTTACTCACGCCCGCTGGCTAATGGAAAAAAAAAAAACGCAGCCAAACTGGATGGCGTGAAAACGTATATGCGTATGCGTCGTGTGCCCAATCATCTGCAGGTGAAAGTCATTAAATGGTTCGATTACCTGTGGCTGACCCAAAAATGTTCCGACGAGGAGCGAGCTGTATCCTGTCTTCCTGATAAATTAAAGGTAAATACACACAAACGCTTTCCCGTACTAACATATATATATAGGTATTCGTGCACATTGCAATCACTACGAGCATAAGCATCTCCAAATAGACTACACACATAACGGTATATATAAATAGAAGCGGAATTGCATCAGCGTCGTTTCATTTCATCGCTCCGGCCAGTGTGTGAATAGCTAGTTGGCTAACGGAAATGTTTTTGGTGTGCGAATATGACCAACTGGTTGGTGAAAGGACTGGGCTATACATACCCTCGACTTACATACATACATATGTACCTGTGTACCCGAAATGCATGTAGTCCATTGAGGCATTGGCTTGAACTCAGCTCTTGGTTAGAGAGCATCGGAAATTAGCATTTGGCAAATTTCGATTTTTTGTTTTTTTGCTTTCTCAGTCTAACTGGCTCTCGCTGGCATTTTAATGCGTAAAACCACACACACGCATATACTCGTGCATGCAGCTGCTAATGTGTGTCAGCGCTTAAACAGTCAAACGCATTTCCGAAACACACTTTCATTGCATTTTGTGCTGATTTGTAATTGAATTTTGGGAATTTCATATTTCCACTGCTACAATTTTGTGCAACAAGGTTTTGAGCAAGTTTTTTCATACAAATATTTCCTTTCCAATATGCTTCTACGGTCTCACAAAAATCACTCTCTCCCACAGTACATCAGTTTTTCGTTATGATCTAAGGAATTTCATTTTTGGTCTACACCCTAATGATCAGTGAAATCTTCTATAAATATTTTTCTTTAAAGGTTTTAAATCAATTCATTTGTTTAGCTTAGTAAACTTCTTTCAATCAAATTTACTAATTTGTTTAAAATTTAAAATAAACAACAAAGTAAGCTTTAGCAAAAATAAATAAATGAAATAAAACTAAACAAAATAAGACAAAATAAAATATAATCAAAAACAAAATAAAATCAAATTAAATGTAATAAAATAAAAACCAACATATAATCAAATAAAATACAAAATAAATTAAATTAAAGTTATGTAAGCTAAATAATAGAAGATAAAATCAAATTAAGTAAATTAAATATTATTAAGAAATTTAAAATGAAATAAAATGAAATGATATGAAATAAATAAATGAATAATATTATATAATAAAATAAAATAAAATAAAATCCAATAGAAAAAATAAAATAAAATAAAGTAAAATAAAATAAAATAAAATAAAGTAAAATAAAATAAAATAAAATAAAATAAAATAAAATAAAATAAAACAAAATTAATTTTTTGCATGAAACATTTTCTGTAAAGTTTGTATTTTTCTTTAATTATGATTTTCATTTAAGATTTTTCGGTATCAATTTTGGTTAATTTTTTTTAATTATAATTTCATATTTAAAGCTTTTTCTAAGGTTATTTTTTCTTAACTGATATATTTAGTTTGATTTAAGGAGCTTAATATCTATAGTTTTTTATTTACTTAAAATTGTGAATACGAAACTTTTTCTCAACTTTATTTAAATAAATATTACTTGAACTAACTTTAAAATTTTTTTTTAATTTTAGTTTTGATTTAAATTTGAAGCTATTTTTTATTTTTTTCTTTTTGTTTTAATTTCATTTTAGAAATTTTATAGTTAAGATTTTTGTATTTAAAGTCTTATATTTAACGCTTTTAAAGTATATATTTATATTTTTATTTGTAATACATTTCATATTTTATTACTGTTAATTTTTTATTTGGAGCTTATTATTTTGAATTATATATATATATTCATATATATATTTGATTAAATCATTTATTTGCACTTTCTTAAATTTAAAAGTGCTTTCTATGAATTTTTAATGTTTTTTTCATTCTTTTTTTAATTATATAAAATAACTCTTGTAAATAGAAAGTAAATTAAGTGAATTTTTTTATTGAGTTTCTTATTAAGAATTTTGTAATTAATTTTTTTATATACTACCTATTTGAGTTATAAACACATTATTATATATTATCTATATCTATATATTATCTATTTCTTAAATTCTTTTCAAAAAATTTGTGATAAAGGTTATTTAAATAATTTAACACTTTCCATCAAGCATATTTCTATCAGCGATTGCTTCTCTTCCTTTCACTATTTTTTCACATACTAATACACGAAACATCTATGCATTGTATCATTTCCAGGCTGAAATAGCAATTAACGTCCATTTAGATACACTTAAGCGAGTTGAAATTTTTCAAAATACCGAAGCGGGTTTCCTATGCGAATTGGTGCTACGCCTGCGGCCGGTACTCTTCTCGCCCGGCGACTACATTTGCCGAAAGGGTAAGTGCATTCAAATACGTTTTATATGTGTACGTATGTATGTATACGCTTAGACATAAGTACATATATATATATATATTTTTTTCGATTTACTGGCATACACGTATGTGCCCAAATACTTACATATCTACGCTATTCGATTACATCTGCTCATTCGTAGTCCTTTCTGTAATTAATTAAGGGTAATGAGAGTTTTAGGCGTAAAGCTTTAAATTGGTAATTGATATTTAGACGGTGATTGGAATTTGTGTGTGTGCGTGCTTTTGAAAAATTTGCTTTGTATTTGTATTTGGTGAATAAATTTAATCAGTTAAGCTTCATTTCGCTATTTCAGATTTAATTTATGCCTTGAGGCTTTTCTAATTACTCCATTTAGACTTTATTTCTTTCTAGAATTTCATTAAATTTTGCCATGGTGGTAGAAGCAATAATATTTGCAATGTTGAGGTATAAATTTTGGGAGTATTTTTTTTTTTTTGACAGATGTTGAATATTTTCAATGTAAGCCTCATATCCATTATTCGTCTAAAGATCGTTCAAATTTAGATCGTCTGAGAGCAATATTTTCCAGGATTTGAGTTCCCATTGAAAGGGGTAGGTTTGATTGAGCTCTGCTGATTAATGTCTTTAATATTCGTTCTTGTATCTTGAATGGTAAGTCAGAAGTCCATTATATGACTGATAAGCCATATGCACAGCTTGCTCTTATCAGCGCACGGGATTTATCAGCCTCAAATTACATATAATCTGTCCAGCTGTGCAGCAGTTTCTGAGATAAGTGATTCTCGTGAATTTTTTCGTATTTTTAAAGAAAATTTTCCTTTACTGAAAGTCAAAGATAATCCGGTAAATATGCACTTATATTATTATTTTTCCTTCAGTGTAGGCCTTCTGAGCATTTTCGATGAAGAACTTGGTAAAATTAAACTCATTCAAATTTTTATTAACAAGAGAGGTCTAGACTATATGGTTGATCAATGTCATATGTATGTGGTGTCTAATGCTGAAACACAAAACCTTGGAACCTGTTTTTTGAGTAGCTTATTGTAGGTTAGTTAACTGTTGACAGTAGATCTCAGAATGGATCGTTTCGCAAGGTTGATGGAGCTCATAATGAAGAAGTCTCCTCGAGTGCCACGAAACACTCATTATTTCCGGCAGGAAATCGACGAAATCAAAATTAGCATTATTGACAGTTGTAGTCCCAGGACCATAAACATACATTTCGACTGTATTGATGAAAAATTGTAGAATATTGCGTAGTTTCTCCGTGCTGGTGTCCATCTCTGGCGTGAGCTCAATGACTTCCGTGCTAAGTGATGTAGAGCTTAAATAGGTCAGTCTCTGTTCCACTTACCAGATTGTTCTTTCATATTCTTCTTGTTTGGACGGAGACCGAACCGAATCGGATCCAATCATCGAAATCGGTACAGGACTTTTTTTTAGGTTGAAGCGTAATAACTAACATCACTCTCTTTTATATACATATACGAGTATAGATAACAAAAAAATGAGTTATTTTAAATGCTCTGAAACACTATTTTTGACTTAAGCTCTCCCAGATATTTGGTTGGAAAACATGAAGAACTCGAAAGAATTTTTTTTTGTGAACTCTGAGGAAACATTACAAACAAAATAATTTTGCCGGTATTTGTTGTTGTTTAATAGTTGTGCCAAAGAATTTACTGTAGTCCAAATATAATATAGTAGACGAAATTTAAGAAATTTGCTAAATTCAAATTAAATTTGTAAAAATAAGTTGCTCTTGCTTAATAACATTAAAATTTCTTTTAAAATGTTTATTTATTTATTTTTATATATTTGTATATTACAAAAAGATTTGCACTTTTTTCGCTTAGACGGACTTAACTTTAAAACACTTCATGGCACAAATGTTTTTTTTTAAATAATTGTGAATTATAAATATTTTCATAGGAAATGATTTTTCCTTCAAATAAAAATGCAGCTCATATTTGCTAACAAATATTCTCTTTCTATCTTTTCTTTTTAAATCAACAACTTGGCATCGATATCGCTTAAATCTGCACTACTTGGCGGTCAAACGCACGCTGGTTCAAAAAATGCGCCCAAAACTATGCTTCATTTTTCCTTCATCACCACATTAATTGCTCCGTCGCAACGGTGGTGCGCTTACAATGTGTTGACTGGCACGTCAATTCTGTTAATGATGGTGATGATAATGATGATGTTACTGATGCTTATGATTTAATAATAACAACAACAACAATTTACTATGATGTGTTTACTGGAAAACTTAAATTTTGCGCCCTCAATATGACAACAACAACGAAAACAATTACGCATGACAATAACAACAACAATGAAAACAACAATTAAAACAACAATGAAAACAACAATGAAATGGACAATAATCCAAATGATGTGTCAAAATGTGTATACACACACAAACACACACACACACTTTTATATGTACGTTTCGGCCTGCCGTCGAAATCACACACACTCACACACACATATCCACATCTTCACTGACGTACTGACATCTTCCGGGTAATGAACTGCGCGTTGCTGCATTTTCGTCACGAATTTCTCATGGCCAACAAACAAATTGCCAAACAATGATCGTACTTATATGGCACATGCCACATACATACATGCATGCATATATACATATACACATGTGTACATATATGGTTATATGGCTTGCACTGTTTACTTGTGGTGTTTTGTGCCAATTTCTTATGCCAACATCGAAATGCCAATGTCTTTACTCAACGCAACTCAACTCAACTCAACTCAAATCGACTCAATTCACCGATGACGGTAATGAATTGTCTGTTGGCTTGGCACACATGACAACAATGTGCACGTAAACAATAATAATAACAACAACAACAACATTGATAACAACCACGACGATGTCGTCAATGACGCCTGTTATTGCTTATTTCCGGCGTCTTATGTGCGTATGTATGTGCTGTGTGCGACGTATACCGTTACAAAAACAAATCGACTTAAACTTCCAATCAACAACAATAACAACTATGCACCAATACATACACTATACTCATGTCAACTATAAATCACCTGCTTGAAAATCTTAACCACACCGTCGGGGCTTGGCACACGCCGCTACTGGCTTTTACTACTTTTACTACTACTACTACTACTACTAATGCACACGCACATACCTACATACCTTCATACCTTAACAAATATTAATCTGTGCTATTGTGTTATACACTCATCTTCGACACTTGAACGGCATGCTTCTATGCACGACTCTTGGCTGCCTGCCTGCCTGCCTGTGACCGCCAATACACTCAACACTCAACTACCGCAAAACCACTGAAATCAACACAAACCACTCAACAAACTCTATTACACAATGTGCCAAAATCGTCTCTTCACACTGACACCTAATAAACTTCTCCTACAACCTGCGATGCGTCCCACTTGCCTACCGCCGTCGTGACCAACGAACGGACATCATCACTCTAATCTGCCGGCTACAACATTTATACTAATCAACCACATGACACTTGGAAATGGTCCCCAATGTGCTACATCCAAACCCACAATGCACCATCCCAACACAACCGCCGCCCTCACTCTACAACTGCCAACCTTTGTTCATCGTCACCATCACCTCGCCTCATTGTTCATGTACACACATACCATCATCCAGGCGAGGTTGGCAAGGAGATGTATATAGTGAATCGTGGCCGTTTGCAGGTGGTCGCCGACAATGGCAAGACGGTGATGGCTTCATTGAAGGCAGGTTCCTATTTTGGCGAGATTAGTATACTGAATATGGGCACAGCAGGTAAAGAACTTGGTAAATATCAGTTTTAGTGCGCCAGGCGGAACAATATACACGTAAATAAGAATTAAACAAAGAAAAAATCAAATACAGTCTCTTTTTTTTTGGTTTTTGTCTACACGTTTGTGTGTAATGTAATTTTTCGATCCCATTAGAAGTTGTTGTTTGTCAGCATACTCAGTTCTTAGTTCCCCCAATAACCCAAATCTTGAACCCAAAAAAAAAAAAAATATATATATATAAAAAAGAATAAAAGAAACAATGTTTATTAACCATAAATAATACAACACATACAACCGTTATATTTTTCTCTCCCCTCCCTTTCTCACTAAAAGTCCACCTTCGACCATCTGTAGTAGTAACCTAATGCAATACAAGTGAAATAAATAACAATTTCCCTTAAAATTCTAAAACATACTTACATACATTTTAACCGCAATTTAGTGTTGCTTGCGTGTGTGTGTGTTTTCTTACTCTCTTTTACTTTTATTGGTATATAGTATAATTCGTAAATATTTTCAAATTAACTTTTTTCTTTGAAAAATTTTTCAATTTATTCCTTCTTGATGTTGTGCAAAATGTAGTTAAATAATAAAATGTTCAATTACAGCTTTTTAGCACACAAAGATTACTACATATAGTTACATGAAAATACCTAGAAACACACTTATATACGCATTAAGGGGGTAAACAGGGTGGCTTAAAAGTAAATTGAGGTCGACTGAGATGTGATTTGATCGTTGAATTTCGCGCTCAGTTTGAAAATATAAATTCTCTGTAGACTTTAGGCACTGAAATTTTGTTAACTTAAGCATCTAAAATTACTAAATTGATTTTTGTTTCGGTTTGCTCTTTTTTATGACTTTTAATTTGTTTATTGAAGCATACCCTTAGGCGCACTCACAGCGCAATAAGGCTTTTCATTAGCATAGGAATTTTATTGTATATTTTTAATAGTATTTGCTTTTAGACTGGTTGAGTAGAGCAGTTGATGTCATAAGGGCGTGATCAGTTTAACAGAGTTTAAAGTACAGGGTTGTCCAATTTACGGTTGCGAAAATCAACATAAATAAAATCCATTTAAAATTTGTTATCTAGAAAATCCCTTTATTATAAATTTTGAACCTTGGTATCATATATGAATCACTACATCATTCATCTCCCATTTTTACAAATTTCGATCTATTTGAGGTTATTTTCGATTACATTTTGGCACATTTCAGGCGGTAGGCATAATTTGACGAATTTTGATTTTCAAGTCCTCAAGAGTCAAAGATTTAACCGCATAAACACTGTCCTACGCTACGTGTCAAATCGCACGATCTCGGTGACCAACTAATATCGCCAAGACTAGAAATTATTTATTTATCTTTAATCATCAAATATCGTTGCGTACATTTAGGCTGCTGTTATATAAATGCAAGGATCTAAATAAATAAAAAAAGTCTTAGTTCTAATGCGTTTACAAACCAAATTATGAACTATTTTTTTTTTTTTAATTTTCCATTTTTCTAAAATATATGCTTTTTGAGTGTAGAATTTTGGAGAAAATTTTGGTTAACTTTTTTCTAACTTTGGTTAATGGGTGCTCTTTTTAAATTTCTAACAAAAAAGTCATTTGACTTTTCAATTAATAATTCATTTTACATTTAAAACTATAATAACAAATTAAAAAGTTTTTATAAAATTGATTTAAGTTCTTTTTACGTTTGATTCTTTCAAATTTCATTTAAGCGAATAATATTTTTGGCCACCCTGTATAGGATGTAAGCTTTTTTAAGAAATATTACTTAAGGATAAAAATTAGTTACTGGGCTTAGACCACGAGGTATTCAATAAAAACAGAAACAAAAATCTTATTAAGCATATTTACAATAAATATTATTTAAATCTAACGTAACAAACAAGCACAGTTATTAAAATTGTTTTTTCTCTCCCTAAATGTGATTATTATGCAAGTGCATTTGAAAGTTGCATACAATTTCGTACATTTTTAGTGTATGTTGTTTGTGTATATTTGCATTTTAAATTTATTTAAAAATTTTGAAAATACTTTTTGTATACTTTTAGTTAAAGTGAGTGTATTTTAGTTTATTTCTAAAGTGGGCACTTTTCACTTTCGAACAAGCATATGTACGAGTTTATGTATCTTCATTATACCGAAAAAATGTAATAAATATGAATATTTCATTTGGTGTGCGTCTTTAATAAATACACTCCTATATGTAGGCATCGTTTATTATTACTTATCTTGATTTGTAAGCATTAAACACTGCCTGCATTAAGGATGACGTCAACTTACTTTGACACAGAAACATATTTTATTTACTTAATTTATGTGTGTGCAATATACAGTCATATTAAGCGTAAGCAGAGTTTTTCCGAAGAGTATATTTATATATATATATAAATCTATTTTTGTTGTTTAATCTTAGGGAAAAATTATTATTTAGATCCCAATTGCAATATTTATTTAATAAATTTATATATATGTATACAAACAATTGATATATAACACAATTTTTCGAAATTTCACTAATTTGCTAAAACATTTTTCGGTCGAAATTTTTTGCTAATTTTTTATCTACTTTTTTCTAATTAAAAATAGTTTGTATGACAGGCAAAAAAGTTAAAGCTCATCTTTATAGCAATAAAAGTCCATAACAACGGCTAATCTATATGAAATAAATTTTGTTACCTCCTAAATGTAGGCAACGTTTTACTGCCTTAATTGCTTATATTTGGTATGATTTAATAATGTTATTATTTCGTCGTCAGTTTAGCGGTAAATAAACCGGTTTTGAAAAAATCGTGTAGTAAAATTTTCAGTGAATTTTATGATAAATGTAAAGGTCAGTTCGTAAGAATGTATAATATGTTATAACATAATTGCACTTCAAATAATAGTAAGATAATTTCAACAGCTTTAAGAGGCTCTAAAATTGGTTCGGCTAATTGTTTGCTTGTGGCCTTCAAAAAAGTATTGTCGACGGCCAAATAAATTTTGATTGACAGGCATCTTTTGAAAAAAACTAGTATTGCCTACATTTAGGCAAATGCGAAATAGTCTATTAATTTATTCAATTATTTTGATCGTAAAATGTTTCTTATTTAATTTTTCCAATATATTTGATCACACTTGAGGGAAGGCTATGCTAACAGTAACAAGCAAAATTTTTAAATAAATTAAAAAATATATATAACTTTTTTAAAATACGTTTTTTAAAGCTTTCAATTTTTTTTAAAGTAAATAAATAAATTAATAGACTATTTCGCATTTGCCTAAATGGAGGAAACATATACATCATATTAAAAAAAAAATTGGTATAAGGAAAATCAAATGCTCTGCTTGCATTCCGTTTGCGCTGCGATTAAGAAAATTACCCAAGTGGCTACTATATGCATTTGATATATGTGTATGTACACCTGTAGAATATAAATATGAGTAAATAAGTATATTCGTATGTAGTTATGCCGAATTAAACATATAATTACAATAATTAAATCGGGCACACTGACACATACACACATACATACATACATACATACCTATACGTAGAATATATAAATATAATTGCAGCTATTTAAGCCACCCAATGTGAAGATGTCAATCCTGCATTAATCGTAAAATAACTGCAATTTAATTGTATTATAATTACAAGCGCAATGTGTCGATTGAGAGCTCTACAAAAGCGCGTTCAATCAAACAAAAGTAATTGCTTTTAAGCATACAAATACATGTGAAGTGGATGCATACATATAGATTTGTATGTATTGATGTAGAGTATCTGCAATAACCCCATAGTGGTTATTTATAAACTAATAATATTTTACTGCCTTTAGACCAAAAAATAAACAAAATAAAAAAATTTGGGTTTAACCAGTTACTTGTGGGTAAATTTTGAACTAGTTTAAGACTAGTGTTAATTTGGGGGTAAACTTCAAGCCGTTTAAAATAATTCAGACTGCCCAAAAATTGAACTAGTTATTTTTTGATACAGTTTAAACTAACTAGAGACTAGTACAAATTTATATTATTGCCTATAATCTAATTTAAAAAATATAATAAACTGATTTTGATTAAAAATTTAAATTAGTTAGTTTTTGGCACGTTCTGAACTAGTTTGAATCTAACGCAAACATAGGTTATTGCCTTTAAACTCATTTAAAAAATTTAAATATTGAATGAAAATTGAACGACATAGTTATTTTTTGAAAAATTTCGAACTAGTTTGAGACTAGTGTTAACTTAGTGCATTGCTTTAACTTGTTAAAAAACTAATACTTCTTCAAATGGAGCTTTTTGAGCTGAATCTTATTTTGAATAAAAATTAAAATAAAAAAATACTGCTGGTAAATAATTGAAACTAGTTTTTTTTTGGTGCATTTTGAACTAGTTTGAACCTAATGGAAAAATAGCTCAATAACTTCAACATAATTTCGGACCAGAAGGAAAAGAAAAAATATAATATTGGTTAAAAATGAAAACTAGTTATTTTCTTGTATAATTGAAACTAGTTTGAGACTAGTTTATTTTGAATACAAGCAAACAAAAAAATATAATTTATAGCGAATGTTCGTTAAAAGAACGAAATTTAACTGCAAGTGAAAAGCTCTGAATTACACTAGTTTCTCACTAGTTTCAAATTACACCATTTGACTGTTGGGCTACAGTTGTATGGAAACAGTTGTCAACCCTGTCGTAACAACGCACTTGTGGTTTGACTGCATTGCAGTCTCTACTCACAAGCACTTACAAATGAATCTACCAACTCACAGTCACACTCGCACTCACATTCAGACATTCATATGTATGTATTTCTCTGCTTATGGAGGTTTTCAGAACATTTGCTTATTCTCTTACAACTCGTAAACTTGCTCATTAACTGTTTGCAATCGATAATAATAGTAATGATAATAATAACGGGAATATAATCGAATTATAAACGAATAATTTCATTTCAATGCTCGCACGAAAGTTGCTATGGGTTTTTTGAAAACATATCTTGATTGCG